ATTATATAGCCATGAGTTTCACTCTGCCTAAGATGCTAGAAAGTTTAGAGCTGATTTTTCTCATCAGGCTTTATTGAAGTATAGTTGACAAAACAAAAAGTAAAATTTAATAACCTGTGAGATTTTTGCTGTTTCATAATGTTAACCTTTCTGTTTCAACTTCATCTTTATATGTATCACTCCAAGTCTTTTAGGAAATAAGTGATAAGGATTTCTTTCAATATTGAAACAAGTGATTATGTATGTGTGAGTGACTGAAAATTTGTTGACTTTCTGCATCCCTAAATAGAAATAACTTTTAAGTTCAAATATGTAGTTATTATCATATCCAGATACTCAGTTCAAAATATTCAAATAATACAGAGAAACTCCAATATAGCCTAAGTTCTTCAATTTTGATTTTTCTTTCCTTCTTGAAAAGATGAATATAGTTGATAAAACTTACATAAAGAACATGTTGATTAGTTTTCTGCCCTAAGTTTTAAAATTCTGTTTTTTAATACAGATGTGGAATTAGAAGAAGCTATTAGAAGAAGTCTTGAGGAAATGTAATTAAAGATATAACCACAAAACATCAAGTGGCCTTGAAGAGACTCAGGATAATGAATTCTTGAGTTTGTTTTCTAAAGGAGACCAGAAACCTACTAGTATAAACGTATCTGAAAACATGTTTTTGTGTTGATATGTTCACAATATCATATTTGCTTTGTATTTTTTGTGCTACTGTACAAAATTGTATCGAAGGAATAGAATACATGTTAATGCATATATAGATCATGTATTCTAATATATAGGTATCACAGTTTCCCAACTAACTTAGAATTCATATATTTAGGTTAAAAGGATTAAAGAAAAAAAGGAAAGTTTTGCCTATTGTTTGGTTTCCAAGTATCATTAGTTCCTTTTTTTCTTTTTTTTGTACTGTACAGATGATTCTAGTTTATTTTTTTAGGATTGAAAAATGAGTATAAATAAAGGTGCCATAACTCAAGTTTTTCCGTAAATTCTATGTCTCATCTGGCACTAATATATAATACCTTTGAGATCTTTGGTTATGATTATTAGAAGAGGGTAATGGAAATTGATAATGAAAACAGATTAAAAATTTTACCAGTGATGTTCTTTGTGGGTATCACACAGATATATATTCTTGCTTTATTTAGAGAATCTCATTGCTAAAATAAAAGCACACTTTTTTCAAAAAAAACTAAAATGAAACCTTTTCCATTCCTTTTACATGCTTAGACTTTTATGTGACTTGTATGATCTACTGTTTAAAGGAATGTCAAAATATATGCATAGAATTAAACTTATTTTAATAATATTACTCTTCTTATATATTTTTATATGCGTAATTTTCTTCAAAAGTAATGTTTGTTGCTGGGCAAATGTGTAATTCCAGCAGCTTTGGAGGCTGAGGCAGGAGGATCATGGCCTGGGCAACTTAGCAAGACTTGTGTCTCAAAGTGAAATAAAAAGGACTGGAGATATTGCTCAATTGTAGAATGCTTGGCTAGAATATGTGAGGCTAAGGGTTCAATTCCCAGTACTACAAAAAATAAATAAATAAAATAATAATAGTAATGGAAATGTTGAGGGTCTTCTCAGGAATAATTTTCCTTAACTCTCTAAAATTTAGTTTCATATGGAGTATTTTCACTTTAGTTATTCAAATTCACTGAATTGTCTATTTCATACATTTGGTATTCCCTATTTTTATATGTTGAAGCCTTGTTATAATTTTTGTAGAAATTGCATAAGTGGAAAACTAAAAAGGACTAATATTATCTTCACATATGCTTCATGTTATTTAACTAAAAACATCTTCATCTCTAAAAATTTTTAGTAATTATTTACTAAATGTAAAAAAATATTTCTATACAGTTTTTCTTTATATTTCAGATGGAAAGATATCATGGCCAAAATTTTGTTTTTTTCTCTGACACTAGATATTTTTTTTTGACACTAGATATTTTAATGTTCAACAGATTGCTGGTTTATTAACTATAGTCTTTTCAATCTATATTTGAAACCAAATTGTGTTTTTATTTCTTTAATGTCATTTCTCTTCCTACTTGCATTTTTAAAGGTTGGCATTGTATATTGAGGATTTATTAATCATGTTTCTAAAATGACCACATTGTGCATTTAATTTTTATGTTAAAGTTGTCAGGCACTAGGCTATACAGTAATGGAGCTGGACCTTAAACACATCTGCAGGAGTTTGCTAAATAGTGAGAAGCAGAAGGGACATTCCAGAGAGAAGAGTAGTTAAGTGGATGTGGGGCAAGAGCAGGTAGCATCTCTGTTAGCAATGACACACAGGTGTGATGAAAACAGGTGCTCTGTTAAGGTTTCTTGGTGTGTTATGCTAGTAACTGAAGCTTTTGGTATAATAAGAAAGGGGTGTTTCACCTTAAGTAAAGATAATTGGGTTATTTAATGTTTAAATTTATAATTGTCACTGATTGTATTTCTACTCATTAATTAAAATCATTTTAAAATTATAATTTGGACTTAACTTAGACATAGGAGATGTAACTAGTAGAATACATTAAGGAAAGGTATATTATCAAAAGTAAATGTTTCTAATCCTGACATAGATGCTGATTTTTTTCATTCTACCATTCATTTATTTACCATCTACTAACAAAATACTTATTGAATACCTACTATATGCAAGCAACAGTTCTCAGCAAATGACACACACCAGTGAGCAAAACAAAGCTCCATGCCCGGTATGGAACACACACTGTGGGAGTATTAAATAGTAAACAAGTAAATAAAACAGTGTATCTGATGGTGATAAGTATAATGAAGTAAATAAAGAAGGAAGGATATAAACAGTGCAGGGAGCTGAGGGAGGGAAGGCTCTCTATTAGGATAGTCAAGAAAGATCTCATTGATCAGTGAACTTGAGCAAAGACCTGAGGAAGGTGAAGGAATGAGCCATGCAAATATATACAGGTGGTCCCTGACTTAGGGTGGTTTGACTTATTTATTTGGACTTTAGGATGGTGCAAAAGCTATATACATTCAGGAGAAACCATATTTTGAATCTTGATCTTTCCCAGGTTAATGTTTTGCCATACTCTCTCAGGCCCTGCATTGGCAAGTTGCAGCTCCCAGCATGAGGGTATGCCGTGCCCTGTACCACTGAGCAATGTTGTTCAGTAGGTTGAGTGTATTAAGCCTACTGTTTAGTAGGTTGAGTGCATTTTTGATTTATGATATTTTCAACTTACATCAGAATGTAACCTCATTCTAACTGGGGAGTATCTATATAGAGAGGAATGTTCCAGGTGGAAAATGAGAAAGTCTAGAGGGGAAGTTGGTATATTCAAGGAAAAGCAAAATGTCAGTATGACTAAAGCAGGATGAGTTTAAGAGAGTAAAAGACAAGTCCTTAAGGCTTTTTTTGGGACCTTGGCTTTTACTGTGAAATGAGAAGCCATTAAAAGTTTCTGAGAATAAGTGGTGTGGTGTGCCTTATTTGGTTATATTGAAAATACATAAGAGGCAAAGGTAGACACAGAGGCCAGAGAGGAAGGAATTGCAATAATCCAGGTGCAACTGACTAAGTGGCTTGAACTGGAATGGTGTAAGTCCAATGAAAAGGAAGAATCTATTCTGAAGGCAAAAATGACGGGATTTTTTTTTTAAAGAGAGAGAATTTTTTTAATATTCATTTTTTTAGTTTTCGGCGGACACAACATCTTTGTTTGTATGTGGTGCTGAGGATGAACCCAGGCTGCATGCCCGGTGAGCGCTCTGCGGCTTGAGCCATATCCCCAGCCCCAATGACGGTATTTATTAATGGATTGGATCTAGAATGTGACAGATTCTAGGACGATTCTAAAGTCAAATTATAAGACTTTCAGACTATTCACAAAGTGTGTTTATATTTCAAGTTTCTGTCATAAAATGACAAATAACGTTTAATGAGGTCAAATAATCCCATGCGTTTGGGTGGAATTGGGATCAAGGGTTAAGATAACTTTGAAGGTCGTGATTCAGCTTCAAAGATTTATTATTTATTATTTTCTGTGCCCTGTACATTTTCATCTCCGCAGTATGAGGCACAGCTATCATAAGAGGGAACTAAAGCACAATTTTTTAAATAAAAAATCTTTTTATTCCTAGCCCTAGTCGGTCCTTTACTGACCTGTAAGCATCTGACCTAAGGGCCTACTGCATCTTTATATTGTTAACAGGAGACTTAAATTGGATGTGAAGTAACAGATAATTTTTTCAATAAGAAAAACAAAGTCACTAAAAAATCCCTTCTTTAGGGTGGAAGTAGAGCAGTTCACCTATTTCCCACATGTAGACAGGGAAAGATGTGGTAGCTTGTTCTTTATAACTTTGCCTCAGTGTTGTCCAGGCTTTCATTTTTCTCATCTCAGGAAAATGGTAACCCAACTTGTCAGGCCAGTGTAGACTGCCAGCGGTGTAGAGACCTTCTGTTTCACAGAGGGACCTTTTTTCCACACATCAAAGGATCCAGCGGGTTTTGTTCTGGCTGTGAATGTGGGTACTGGAGAACAAATGAAGCCATAGTGGGCAGTGCAGCTCCTGCCTGTCTGCCGTTAGGTACCTTCGCAGGCGGATATCCTTTGAGGCAGCACGGAAAGTCGGGGCCACAAGCGAGGCTGGGTGTTCAGGGGTGCCCCCCGCCCCGGTTTCGGGTTCTGCGGCCCGAGTCCGCTGCGGGAGGCAGCCGCCAGCTCAGGACCTCCCCTTTCTGCGGCGGCCTGGCGGCGTCTCAGGCCCGGGCCCCACCGGCCCCTCGGCGAGCCCCCTCTCCGACTCGTACCCTTGCCGCAGGCGGTGCGCCTGTCCTTCTTTGGCCACGCGGCAGCTGCGGAGTCGGCGCGTCTGCCCGGGCCGCCCCCACGGGCGTCAGAGGGGAGGCGGGCGCCCCGCGCGGTGACGGCGACGCCCGCGGCCCCGGGAGCGCTCTGCTCGCCACCGCCGGAGAGGCCGGTGACCTCTCTGCCGCCCCGCCTCGGAGGCTCAGATGGCTCAGGCGAAGATCAACGCCAAAGCCAACGAGGGGCGCTTCTGCCGCTCCTCCTCCATGGCCGACCGCTCCAGCCGCCTGCTGGAGAGTCTAGACCAGCTGGAGCTCAGGTGAGCCGCCGAGCCCTCGCGGGCGGCGCGGGCAGAGGCCGCGGGCGTCCCGGGCCCAGTCCCGGGCAGGCTGCGGCGGGACGGGTTGCTTGTTGCGATTTGTTGTGGGTGGAGAGGATGCAGTTTGTTTCGTAGCGGATATTCCTCCCCTGGTCGGAGAGAAAAATGCATCCGATTCAACTAAACCTGTGAGCGCGGTGGCCACGTTCTCACTAATACACCTGGACGTGCGTTTGGGAGCACAGAAAAATCAGAAGAGATGGTGACATCACTAGGGATTAAGACGGCACCTTGGGTCTATAGAAATTCTAGAACCTTCTGCGTGGTCCCAGCTTCCTTAAGCTTAAATGTTTCCCAATTATGCACTTTTAAAGGAGGCAGCAGTTTCTAGTGGCTCCTGGTGTGTTATGAGGGGTTTTTTTGCTCCAAAACACTTGACAGCAAAAAAGAAAGGTGAGTTGGGGGGCCAGGAATCCCCTCTAGAGCCAGAGTTAGAGAGGGGTGAGATAAACCCAAGGGATGAACGCAGTTGGCTTGTACTCCCCTAACCTCCTGTATGGTACTCAGCCAGTCCCTTAGTCTCAGTATTTATTGAGCACCCCCTAGCATGGAAGATACTGCTCACACCTTTAAAGTGCCAGTCCTTGGCCTAAAAGTGCGAAAAGGTAGTATCTTCATCTGCTTATGGTTTTACTAAGAAATCAGACTTGTATAGAATTTCTTTATTTCATTGGTTAGAATTTTCTAAATAATTGAGTATTAGTAAATTTTGAAAACATTTTTCTTTAACTGTGTTTGCCAAATTTTATGTACTTAATGTGAACGTTTTTAAACATCCTGTAAATATCTCTGAAATTACTGTGTAAATTTTTTAAAAATACTTATTTTTTTTAGTTATAGGTGGACACAATATCTTTATTTTTATGTGGTGTTGAGGATTGAACCCAGTGTCTCACGAATACAAAGCAAAAGCCACAATCCCAGCTCCATTGTGTAAATTTTTATTGTACGCAGGTATAAATAATGAAAATCTTGCTAAGGCACCTGCTGTCTCCTGAAACTGCATAGTTTTTTTGCCAGGTTCTGGATAAAGATAGGAGAATGTGAGCCAGAAAGCTTAAGAAGCACTTGCCTGTGTCTTTATCTCCCTGTAATCATAAGGCAAAACACCCCACATAACACATTAATAACCACAGTATCTCCTGGCATTTTAGGTATTTGTTACTACTGGGAGAAAAGTTTTAGAAAGTGAGAAATTTTCCACCTACAGCATTTTTATGAACTGCACCAGATAGAGAAACTAGGGCCCTGCACCTGGTTCTGGGAATCTGCTCAGAATGAGACAAATGGAAGGGAGAGGTAATGCTGTTTAAGGGATCTCACAAAAATATCAACTCACCTGCTCACTGGCAGAGAAAGTGGAGCAAAATTGGGGAACTACAGATCAGTGGTCCCAGCTACTGATCAAAAGCCCTCTGAGGAATAGTTCTTATCTTGTAGCAGTGATCCACAGTCTTTAGATCTTTGAGAATATTCTCAATCATTTCAGTCTCTCTTGGATAGTCAGAAAACTGTTTTCTTAAAGCCTTGAGGAGGATGTTTTCGCCTCTTTGCTTCAAGCTGAGTCATTGTACTCAAACTTGAATTAATGCCTCCCATGTATGTGGTATGTACATAAGTACTCTGAGTGCTTCTTTTTAAAAGCAAACCTCTGATTTTGAGTATTATTATATTCTAATGTTTAATTAATGAAAATAACTTGCTTAACATTTGCACCAAAGAGGAAAACCTAATTAATATGTGTCTAATTGTCCATTTTAAGGAATTTTTTATTCTTCCTTTAAAAAAGTAATACTGAAAAGTAAAGAAGTATTTCAGAAGGTAAGCAAAAACAGAAAAATGCTAATGCTGCTCCCATTAATTCTTTTTTCTCTTTTTGAAGCTATAAGGGCAGTGTCACAGACCCCTACACTATTAAAAACTAGACTTGTGCCCAGGGGGAGATTGACTTTTAGAAAAACACATGAAACTTATATGTAATTTTGCTTTTCTACTTTGATTTCATATTAATTATGACTTTAAAGTAGTAGGCTGGGTAAACAGTGTAGTCTGTACCTAATTCCTCATCCACACTGATTCTGCTGGTTGTGGAAGAAACTTCTTCCATCTATGAAACTAAAAACAGGATTATACCAAATGCTCTATGACTTGGGGTATAAACTGGCCTATAAGATGTTTAAAATGCCTTAAATTGTTTGGCCATGGTCTACAGACTTAAAGCTTGCCATTGGTTTCTAATATTTTTATTACGCTAGCCTTTAAAAATCTTTTTTCCCCCGTCAGTTCATCTCCTTTACTTCCTCTTAATAAACCAATTCTGTGGAATCTGAAGTTCACATTTGCCTGTGGCTCAAGACACCCTGCTTATTATTGCTATTTCTAACAGTAATAATAACTTAGAAATAATATGTTAACATTTACTCATTTAATGAGCACTGTCTAAATATCTATATATAATGCCCCATGCTATTATCTCCAATCTACAGATGAGAAATTGAGGCTAACACATAGATGACTTGTCTAAAGTCACACAGCTAAAGAGTAGTGGACTTCAAATTTGAACACTGGAAGACTGGCTCTCCAGGCTCTAACACTTTGTGCCTGAATTTTCTTAAATATGTCCTGTTCCATAATGTTGGGTTGGTGTATGAATGGATATATGATTTTACTAAAAATGATGAAAATTATATTAAACTTCCATTCAATAAAAACTAAACACCCACTGTGTGACAGGCGTAGTGACTCCTAGAAGGCCCAGGGAGAAAAGGAAAATGTTTAGGGGATGGGTATTAGAGACTGGCAGAGGGGAAATAGGGAGATTGGCTTTTGTCACATTCCCCCAAACTAATCATAGTCATTCCTTCCTTTGTCACATCAGCTGTGGGCACAGCTGGGAAATGAAGGGTTGGGCAGGAGATGAAGTGTATCATTCCTGTGGCTTAAAGTTTCTCAGCACTTAAAGTCTGTCATGGTGTGTGAAATGTTCCAGGACTCAAAAAGCAAGATAACATCATAGTTAATTCTGCATAACAGCCTATAATTTAAAAGAACACGTTCCATAAAAATTGTCATTGAAAACTTAGAAACCTTTGAGGTAGGAGAAGGGCACATATTATTATCTCTTAGAAATGAGGGAACTAAGGTCTAGAGGGATTAAATGGCTTGCCTGAGGCCTCGTTACTGATGAGTAGCTATTAACACGAAAATACCCATCCATTTTTTATACCAGTATCTTGATAGTGAATGAACTTTAACGTTAAAAAAATATATTTTTAGTTGTAGATGAACACAATGCCTTTATCTTATTTATTTTTATGTGGTGCTGGGGCTCAAACTCAGTCCCTCACTGTGCTAGGTTATAGTCCCAGCCCAAACTTTAATATTTTAATGATTAGAAAAACACTTCAATTTTTTCACATTGCCCAAAATATTAAGGGAATATTGTTGCAGTTTTTTAAAATGCAGGAGTATCAAATAAGATACTGTTTTGGAAATTATTTCTTTCAGATAAATCATAATGTGAGCATTTCCCATTTTCCCTCCATTTGATGAAAAACGAATTCTTGTTATTAATTAAATGAGTTTGTGGTGATGGTAAGTACATAATAACTGCTGTGAAGCTGATGTATGCCAGCACCAATTCTAAGCACATCATACATATGAAAAAAAAAAAAATATATATATATATATATATTTTTTTATTTTTAAAAAAATCACTGCACCAGTCACTGCATTAAACTCATCACCTCTTTACTTCATTTAGTCATAGCCACCATCTCCTCATTATCCCTTTTTCATAGGTGAGGGAATTGTAGCCAAGAGTGAATAAGTACTCAAAGCCATATAGCCAGAAAGTGGCAGCACAAGACAGTTTTCACTGCACACTTTATTAGCTAAGGTATCAGTAGCTCCAGGTTAGGTGTGCACCTTTCCCAAGTCTCCCACCAATTTGTCTTTTTGATACCTAAGCTGCAGAAATTTTGTATGGTGCCCAAGACCTGGGGACTACCTTAGGTTGCATACACTCCAGTTTTGTCCTCAGTAATATTCCGATGAAAGTGGGGCTTTTGTTTGTTTGTTTGTCAAAGCCTGCTTAGAAGTCCATTTCAGTGGGGCAACCTGTAATCCCAGTGATTTCGGAGGTTGAGGCAGGAGGATTGCAAGTACAAGGCCAGTCTCGGTAACTTAGCAAGACCCTGTCTCAAAGTAAAAGAAAGCTGGGGGCTGAGGTTGTGGCTCAGTGGTAGAGTGCTCGCCTAGCATGCATGAGGCACTGAGTTTGATCCTCAGCACCACATAAATATAAAATAAGGATATTGTGTCCACCTAAAACTAAAAAATAAATATTAAAAAAAAAAAAAAAGCTGGGATGGTAGAGCACTCCTAGGTTCAGTCCCCAGGATTGGGGTTGAAGGGGGTGGGGGAGTCTGCTTAGTTGTGATTTAACATGGAGAGTTTTCCAAGAGCACAGCCCAGACCAGCCTTGATGTGAGGATAAGTTCTTTCCCAATTTGGACATGTAGCTGCTTCCAAGATCTGTTAGTAAATACAGAACTGCCCTTTGCCGCCAAGAGAAGTGTTGTCAGATGAGATACTAAAAGCATGAAGGAAAAAGTGAGGTGGCCCAAGTGAGATGAAACCAGAGTTCCAGAAGAAAATAATTGAAAGGGAGACAGGAATATTCAAGGATACAATAGCTAAGAATTTTCTGGAATTAATGAAAAAGCTATAGACAAATCTATACTAGCTGATAAACAGTACAAATACTACTGCTACTACTATACTACACAGATGAACAATGCCAAAGGTGTTAATTACCTCAAGGGAAAGGAAAGAGGAGTTGTTAAGGAAAAAGTTCCTGTCAAAGGGGCTTTGGGTTTTGGAAAAGATCACCTAGTAGATAAGGGTCTAAGGGTCGGGGGAGAGAAGGTTGCAGGAAGAAGGAAGAGTAAAAAGTAAAAAGCCCCTGGTGCCAACACCCCTGGAATCCATATTTTGAAGAATGGCAGTTTACTTTTGCCTTGAAAGGGAAAAGGTACAAGAAGTTCTTTAAAGATCAAATCTGTTTTTTTGCGAGGAAAAGGCCCTGGCACTTTCTGTTCTGTATAAAGAAGTTTTATGGGGGAAAAAAAAATCCCCCATAAATAGAGTTCTAGCTAATTTCATTTGGTCTTATTCATTGATAAAATTTCTCTTTATATGACATATTTACATTTTTTCTACATTTTTCTTTTAATCTGTTAACAATTCCACAAACTCACTATTGTATGTACAGCCTGCCTTGTAGCATTCAATTCTGTCTTTATCATCTTACATGTGAATACAAACTCAGGAGTGTTTAAAAAATTTATTATTCTCATTTACCAATCACATGATTCTTTTGTGTCAGTTATCTAAATATTAGTCATGGTGTGTTTAGTATAAATATTTCATTAGTGGCTACTAAGTCTCTTTCACATATATCTGTGAGACTTTGTAAAATATTTGAATAAATGGTGAGTGGTGCAGGAAGAGGGCCTGATACTGTATTATTACCACTTTATGGAATATTATGTTTGATTGTGTCTTCCAGCCAGATTTGTCACATAAGATTCTTACCAGCTCTTTGCTTTTACTGGTTCCTATAAACACAGAATCCTACACATATTTAATATCTTGAAGAATAACCATGCTGTGGTTATATAGCCTTTCAGTGCTATTTTGGGGTATAACAGGTGGGTGAGTGGATGGAAAAAAAGCATGTGCGGGGCTGGGGAGAGAGGTGAGGGATCCTTTCACAGAATTGACATGCCAAAATATTGGTGAGGTTGTTCCTTCTGTGCCCACTTTAGGCACAATCTAGGTTAGATCTCCCATGATCCTGTATTTCTAGGATCATCCAAATTCTGAGGATAAGTCTGACACTGTCATTTTACAAGATTTGGTACCTTAGTTACTGTAACCTTTCAAAAGCAAATGTCAGACAACTTTTAATTATGCAACATGTTATTTTTTTCTTCCTGCTTTCATGATTCTGTCACCTAGTTTTTTAGTGAATGGGCATGTTCTTGTGTTTGTGTAGTGAAGGAGGCATGTGTGTCTAGTTGAAGGAGGTGGAGAAAGAAGTGCTTCTATAGTTTGATCAGGGCTTTACACCAAAAACCTACCAAAGCTTGCCTTTAAATCTGTGAAAAAGACAAAAGATGCTCCCAACACCACCACCATTTCATATAGTACCAGAGGACCTTAGTACTACAAAGGAAAAAACAAGAGCTATTTGGATTGGAAAGGAGAAGACACAAGCGGTCTTTTTTTTCTTTTTTCGCCAATGATATGATCATCATCCTAGAAGAACCAAGAGAATCAACAGAGACACCATTAAAATTAATAAGTATAAATCAAGGATTCCAGTTACAATCTTGAACCTATAAAAACAGCATTTTTTGAACTAACAGTCATTGATTAGAAATGTAATTGGAGTTATCCACAACATCAATGATATCTACAATGTATCTAGAACACTCAAAGAGTCCACAAGGCTACTATGGAGAATTTTTCAAAACTCTAATAAAGAATATAGAAGATCACTAAATGAAGAGATGTATCATACCCCTGAGAGAAATGACTCTTATTATAAAGATGTCAAATTTCTCCCAATTTTTTTTTAGAACCCAGTAAACTTACTGAACAGTTTGTACAATGGAAAAAGGTCCCATTAAATAGCTATCTTTAAAGAAAATTGGGCAGTTGGGGGAGGCTACTCTACCAAATATTAAGGCAAAATGCAAGACTGGGGTTATGGCTCAATAGCAGAGTGCTTGCCTCACACATTTGAGGCACTGGGTTCAATTTTCAGCACCACATAAAAATAAATACATAAAATAGAGATATTACGTCCATGTATAATTTAAAAATTTTTTAAATGGGTGTTGGTATAAAAACAGTTAAATACACTAATATATGGAATACAGATTTCAGAAATAACAAAACTGTAGGGAAAGATGAATTTTGTGGTAAATAATTTGAGGGGAAATGTCTATTTGGATAAAATAAATAAAATATTTATGTAACCACATATAAGAATGGGTTCTAGTGGATTAAATATGAGAAAGATAAAACTATGAACTTAATGGAGCAAAATATTTTATGACCTAGGGGTGTGGGAAAGGCCTTAAACAAAACTTCAAAGCATAAACCACAAACGAGAGACTAACCCATCCCATCATCATAAGGACCTCATAACTGGGCATTGTGGCATATGTGTAAAATCCCAGCTGTTGGGGAGGCTGAGGCAAGAGGCTTTTGAGTTTGAGACCAGCCTGAGCAACTTAGCATCTCAGAAAAAAAGAAAAAGAAAAAAACCCAGGATCTCAAATGAAGGCAATCCCAGACTAGGTTCACATATGACAAGATGAAAGCAGTTGCCAACCAGAAATTAATATGCAAATTCTCAGGCCCATAGGGGACATGTTGTCAACTTTAAGTGTTATTGCCTTAATGAGAAGATGGTAGACAACCTGAGCGCCCATCTCTGGGAATGGACAGGCAACATCAGGTGTTTATACATATACAGTAATTAGAAGCTACTGCTTAGACATACACCCAAAATCCTGGATTATTCTGAACAAAATGGAAATTTTAAAAATGGGATAAGGTATAGATTTAAAATATGCAAATATACAAATAATACAGATTTTGTAATAACAGAGAAACAACAAATAGAATAATTGTTCTATGGGCAGAGATGAAAGTGGGAGTGAAGTAAGTGAATTAAAAAAAGTAGAAAAATGAAATGTTTAAAAAGGTCTAAAGAAATTTTAAAATGCATTCCTAATAACCTTTAAGACTGACTTGGATTGAATGAGAAAATGAAGAAAATTAATAAAAAGAACACCGTCCATGTAATTAATGACTGTTTTGTTTCCCCAATTTACATAGGGTTGAAGCTTTAAGAGAAGCAGCAACTGCTGTTGAGCAAGAGAAAGAAATCCTCTTGGAAATGATCCACAGTATCCAAAATAGCCAGGACATGAGGCAGATCAGTGACGGTGAGAGCCATTTCCACAGAAGGGGGCTCCTCTCTTACACTGCTTTAGGGGATTTGTGATAAGCATGGGCCAGTTTTTGCCCGACTTCTGGTATGCATACACTAGGCTTCAGTATTTCACGTGAGCTACATCGAGCAGCTGTGGCTGTCAATTACAGCAGCCACTTATGTAGAGATCATTGTTCCTATGTGCTGCCTACCCCAGATCTGGAAAAGGCCTGAAAGCTCCAGAAGAGTGGGGCCCAAGCCATAAGGCCATGTGTCTCCTGTCAGGTTCACACTCTTAACTTCAATTTTTCCAAGTTCCTGGACTCGGAAAAGCAGAGGATAAAGCAGAGAATAAAGGGGAAAGTGAAGGCAGAGGAGAGCAAAAAAGAGATGAATTGAGGTGTAAGTTAGAGAGGAAATGGAGAAAATTCAGAGGAAAGGTAAATTTCAGGACCAAAAGAAGACACTGATGTGCTGTCCTCTTCATTTGAAGAACGCCACTGCCTGTGGAGGAATAGGGCCCTGGGGTGTTCTTCCCTTGGCATTGGATTCCCAACTGGGTTCCTTTGGTGCTCCACGGGGTAAGCCAGTGGGTCATAGAACAGTAAGCTTAACTTCAGATCCAAACTGGTAAACATCCACAGTGGGTCATGATCTAGTTTGTCTCTTCATTATTGTGGCCCAAGGTCATGAGTTAGGAATGAGGTTATAGGACAAAGAGGAGATCATGGGCTTTTTTATATAGTGCACTGTTGACAGAGCCCTGTTTACCATCATTGCCTCCTTGTGCCAGCCACGATTCGGGACCTCTGATCTTCCTCAGACTGCCTGGAGGGGATGAAGTCAGTGCTTGGTTTTGAGGCCAGCTTATTCTCTACTGTCATGGCTCTGACTCCTTGGCCACACCTGCACACCCTCATATGGTACAGTCTCATAACCACAGCTCTACCCAGCACAAACCCTAGTATGCTCCTTGCTCACAATGATGTGATTGTTCTTCATCTCAGACACAAACCTGCACACACTTGTGCAGACATGTGAACCTGAGAAGTCATTTGGTACACTGTCACAGATTTTCAGAGAAAGGTACTCTGTGACCTCTAGTATTTCGTCTGTTAATCTTACATGCTGTAGTTTTAGTCTTCACCTTAAAATTTTCACAGCACAAGTTCTTATAGAAAATAAATCTAGCCATAAATGAATGCCTTAGTGTTCTTGACATGAATAAGCTTGTGTCCCATATTGATTGATATTTCAAAACTTTTTATGTTTAGGAGAAAGAGAAGAATTAAATCTGACTGCAAACCGTTTGATGGGACGAACCCTCACCGTTGAAGTTTCAGTAGAAACAATTAGAAATCCCCAACAGCAAGAATCCCTAAAGCATGCCACAAGGATTATAGATGAGGTGGTCAATAAGTTTCTGGATGATTTGGGAAATGCCAAGAATCATTTAATGTCACTCTACAGTGCATGTTTGTCTGAGGTGCCACCTGGGCCTGTTGATCAAAAATTTCAATCTATAGTAATTGGCTGTGCTCTTGAAGATCAGAAGAAAATTAAGAGAAGATTAGAGACTTTGCTTAGAAATATTGAAAATTCTGACAAGGCCATCAAGCTATTGGAGCATTCTAAAGGAGCTGGTTCTAAAACTCTGCAACAAAATGCTGAAAGCAAATTTAAGTAGTCTTGAAACCTAAGGGTACCTACAAATGATATAAAAATAATAAGATGCTATTTTAGTTCTTTGTCAGGTATAACCACTTACTTGATACAGTTGTTTCAGATGAGGAAAATACTCCAGTGTTAACATTTTTGCAAATAATAATTAAAATTTAAAGTATTTTAATTATCTAGAAGTTTTTAGATTGAATTCTTATCTTGTACTAGGATCTAGCACTATATATTTTACTATTTTGTGGATGAATGAATACATAGTATGTAGAAAAAAATGTATTCGGCCGGGGTTAAAGCATTCCTGGACTTTGTCTGGCATGGAAACACACAGGCACATGAGCATTTAGTTAGCTAGAAATTCCTTACCCTAACAGTGTACACATGTGCAGCATGTACACACACACACACCCCACATACACACACGCAGTACACTCAAGTACTAAATACTGTGCTTAGAGGGATAAAAGGAATCACAACATAAGGACCTTTACCTGCATTTACATGATTATTTTGTTTTTAAGATTTGTGCATCTTACGGTACGAATGTATTTTGTACATACATGGCAACGTGAGAAAAAGCAGCTCTAATTTTGCAACAGTTGAACAATTATATGTCCACTTGATCTCTCAAATGCATTAGTTGTCTAAACTTTCAGTGTTGAACCTTGCCTTTTATTTTTTTCTTCCTTTAAGCCACTATAAAGGCTGCTTAATTGCAGTTTCAAAAGCTCTATTTTGTGTAGTGGTCCAACTTGTTGCTATTACTGCAACTTAACTAAGCTTTATCCTTTGTTTTTGATTTTTGTACAAATTCTCAGCAGGTGGATTTATTGGGTCAAGGGGTATATAGATTTTCATGGCCTAACACATATTTATAAATTGATAACTTTCATACAAAGAATTCAGAAATGTCTGTCTTCAGTAATTAAAGTGTAGTTATTTCACTGAAATTCTAGCATTGAGCCTTAAATTTTTCTAGTTGTAGACTTAAAACACCTGAATTTAATTTGCATCTTGCTTACTAACAAGGCTGACCAATGTATTGATCCTTCTTTTATAAATAAAGTATAGCACAACTTTGTTAAAATTAACTAGTGCTTTTGAGCACAACTTCCCCAAATACTGTGAAACAAATACTTCAACTCAATTTCTATTAGAATATAGGTAATCACAAAAAATATTCAGATTGATTTTATATATCTATATTTCTCAGTGCAAACAAGATTGAGCAGAATTTTCTGTACAAAAGATGCCAAGTTAGTTGGGGGTAGGGGTTAAAAAAAAAAAAAATGCCAAGTTAGATATACTGAGGACATTCACAGTTGATCTTTGCCAGCCCCAACTCTGCTCATTTAAGTCTTTCTATTTTGGGGAAATGTTAATTCTATCTGTGGCAATAGTTCTTGGTTTGTCAATGGATTCTGAGTTGCTGTCATCAGGTTGCACAGATGAAAAAAAAAAATTGTGCCACCTTGTTTTTTTAGCAGCTTTTTGAAAATTAAGAAAGGGATGATCAAGTTTTCCTCAGATTCTCTAGTGTTGTCAGTTTCGGAAAGCTCTTTCCCCTCTGGGTGGTACCCCCTGCCCTCTACCCTCCCATTCCATTCACTCCATATCAGTCCAGGACTTTCTCCTTCACAGATTATTGCTGTCATGCTTCCTTGACTTGTATTCTTTGCTACATGAGCCACATGATAGATAATGACAGATAATAGACTTGAAGGACACTTATAGAGTATGTTTTGACTTATCATAATCCAACACAATTTAAGAATGTAACATGCAATTTGAGGACAGCTCTTTGTCTCATTTCCATCCCTGTCTGTCCCAAGGCTTCTCCATAAAGCCTGCTTTCTGCCTTCATTTTTAATGATAGGCTTTCTGAAGTATGGTAGCTGGCAAACGGACCTGCAAAGGAGATGTTAACTCAAATTCATCAACTGAGGACAAAGTGAAAATCCACCTTGTTAAGTATGGCAAATATAGAACTGAGCTTTGTGGTGTTTTAATTTAGGGACTCTGATATTGAAAAAGTTCCTAGTGCTTTTAAGTGGGAAGGGGACCTTTAACAGCAATGAATTTGAACTTGAGGTTTCCAGTGGCCTTTGCCTTTCCACTGATGGATTCTCTCTTTAAAAAAAAAAAAATGTATTTAGTTGTAGATGAACACACAGTATCTTTATTTATTTTTATGTGGTGCTGAGGATTGAACCCAGTGCCTCACACATACAAGGCAAGCACTTTACCACTGAGCTACAGCCTCAGCCCTTCCACTATTGGATTCTCTAGGACACATGGTATCCTGTGAATGGGCTCTTCCTTTTCATTTAATGAAACATTAGTCAAGTATGATGCACAAGGACAAACACTTGAGTGCAGGCATGGTACCCTGTTGATGCAGCTCAGTCTAGCATTGACCAGAGTGCTTAGAATCTGCCCTAAAGAGGTTAACAACTAACGAAATTCTGTTTAATGTATTTATACCCTTTAAATGACTGATAAATGTGGAGACATTTCATATATGTGAAAATACTGTCTCTGAAGGCAGAATTTACAGTTACCCAAAGACACAAAATAAGGTAAAAGAGCTAAGAATCTTTGGAAAGAAAAGGCAACAAAGGTGTGAGTAAATGTAGGCTCAGCCACCTCTGTATTTGTGTGTGTGTGTGTGTACTCACACCAAAGAAGCCAAAGGAAAATGGATAAAACAGAAAACAGGCTCAGTACTACTGGGTTAATAAGCATCCCTGGAAGACGTAGCCTGAGTGCCCAACTCCATCTCTTACCAGCAGAGGGCCCAGGAGCATTTCCTTTAACAAGAATCTTGCCCTTTGCAACTGAAAAATCTGGGTTACAATGCTCCTTCAAGCTTTTATGTGTAAGAGATACCACATGCTCACATGTGGAAAAAACTTGTGAAATCAATTAGAACTGTATGGTTATTTTATACCACAAGACAAAGTAAATGTGTTATTTGGAGGACTGAAAGCCTCAGAACAAGACAAAATAAAAGCATGATATTGCTACAATGCTAGAAGAAACATCTATATGCCATGGTGCTACTAAGTTGCATTAAGTAACCACTATCAAAATGAATATATTCCATACTGATCCATGATCAGGAGTATGAACTATTTTTAGGTTATTTTTATTTTTAAAGAAGTCACATTATACCTTTTACTACTGAGTTTCACCTTGGTGATAACATCACACATATCACATGAAATTCTAGCTTTGAAATGCATGGGTTTTTTTTAATTATTATTGGAATTCATCTCCACTGAAATTTTAATCAAATATCACATTTTAAATTAATCTTAAGGGCATAACTGCTACTCAATACAAATTCATACAAGTGGTTTTCCATTTAAATTTACAAAAGTATTATTTATTACTCACAAAAAACATAGAAGTGGTTCAGTTTTCCTTTTAATCCAGTTTTTATTTTTAAAATACCATTTACCAACATTCTGTTAGAGATACTTAAAGAAAGCCAAAAAGGGGCACTAGCTGGTAAAAGAGTATCATAGTCAGATTACCCAGTTACTCATGTGTTTGATGACTGGGTATCTTAAAGACTACTGGGGTTTTAAATATTTTTTGTTGTTGTTGTTTACAAACAAATTCAATTTTATGTAGATATACAAGTTTTATATATGAAAGCCTAAAGAGTGACAATAAGTACACAATATTCATAATTACTGAGGAAATCTACCTGTTTATCAAATGACTGTGCAACGAAAGACAAGCTTTCACCACATCAGTTCATTTTGTTTTCAGAGAAATACACTAATGATATATTTCAGAAAATAATAACTATTTCAAAAGCTTTGAAAAAGAAGCTAACAATATCTTACATTAAAACAGTACAATGTTTGAAGTTAGAACATTGGGTTCTAAGGACAACTCCTCACTAGAAGATTTTCAAAAAAGGTCCCAGTCCCTAAAGCCCCAGGTGCAATGGAGTACATATTACTGAGATTTCTTTCTCAATGCATTGCCAACTTTGGAACAACCACATAGCTTCACTCCATAATGAAGAAAGTTGCTTGTCCTTTTTAATAGTGTTAAGCTTTATTCTGAAAAACCACGTGTGCTACCAATTTTGAACAGGTAAAAAGAACCTTTTAAAATATATTGCCTTATATGGACTATTTTGTACATACTATTTAATTCACAGGCAGAGACTGAAAAAGGAAACCAGAGGAACTGAAATATGGCAGTTGTTCCACAGCTATATGTCTGTATGCTAAAAATTACCCATAAAAGTAGACTGGAGCACAAATGCGTGCTAACCCAGAATCTTAGTCGTGTCTCTTTAGTATCCATAGTTTCATGATAAGTTAATAAAATTACTTTAAAGAGTAAAGGATCACAAAGGAAAAATATCAATCTTTAAAGTTTTAGAAGATTAAATTGAGAACTTAAATTTAACATATCACTGGTTTTCAGACCTTTTATTTTAAATGATTATGATTAGGTGTAAAATATAACAATGCCAAGTAAAAATTTAGGTCTCTTCAGTTCTCTTAAGGAAAAACAAGGATAAACCAAACATAACTACAATCATCATTGGAGATTACAGTTTTTATACAGAGAAGTAACACACATTTATCCACACAATTAATATGAAATTGAACTACAACACATTATATAACAAGAGACTTTTCTTATGATAAAGATCATGAGATTATTTGACACAAATATTTTTTGTGCAAAAATTAAAGAGTAAAAAAGATGCATTCCTTAGCAGGTTATCATTGTAAGAAGCTGAGTTTTTCCCCCAACACTTGTCCCACTGCCAGCAATGGGAGTGGTAACAACTGATGACATAAAAATAAACTTTTATATTACTTTGAAATAGATAATGCCGGATTATTTCAATATTATGAAAAGCAAACCTTTATACTTGATCACTTAACCAAGACATACTGCAGGAAATTCTACATGTTCTCAATATTCATCTGGACAAAAGGATGAGGGTGGTGCAGATGGAAGACTTAAAAAAAGAAAAATATATAAAACACATGTATTTAGTATAAATAATGAAAATGACTTCATGACACATTATTCAAGAGAAATTTTTGCATATTTTAAAATCCTGTAAAAAGGAGATATATTGAAATGGGTTAATTATATATTAAAAAACAACCACGGATGAATGATAATCAGAAT